TTTACTATTAGCTTGATTCCCTACCTTCAGTAGGAACGAGGTTAGAGAATTACATAATGTAGCATATAATATAGGTCGTTGTATTAGTTTAGGTACTTGTAATTAATATACAGCTGCCACCTTAAAAAAATAATAATAATAGCTATTCTTGAGTGTGTCGATGCAATTAAGATAGTTGACACAAAAGGATATTTCAGGAATTAGTGGTATAATTTATTCTGAAAACTAACATTTGTTCTGACAATATCGCTACTCTTTTAACAAATGTCATGTTCATAACTTTGCTTGAGTAAGAGTTGAGTACGTGTTCTTCTTCCATATGTCACTACAAATATATCTTGAGTTTTCTCGTTGGAAATTGAGTGTTTAATGTTTTGCGCTTCATTTTGTTAGTCATTTATCTCGTTTTTTAAAGCAACTTGTGGAAGAGATACACCCATGCGTTAAGTTCTTTTTGTTCTTTTTCTTTTCTTTTTTTTTTCTTGGTTTGTGACATTCGGATCTGAAGAAACATAGCATCAAATAGTAACCTTTGAATTAGGTTGAACTCCCTACCATCGACCCAACACCATTTTTTTGTTCTTCTATGATTTTGTAGTCCATGCATAAGTTATATTTATCAATAAATGCAGATCAAGTATTTTGTTTTACTTTTTCAGATGACCAAAGGGGCTAGTTGATATAGTTAATCATGGCAGATAACCGTATGTATCTACACATATTTTCACTTGTCTTAAAGTTTGGAACCTTAAAAAAAAGACTCATTTGCACCAACGCTGCACATTCTTCTTAGATTCGTGCAATCTTATATATACACATCTAAGCTATTTCGCTTTTCCAAATTCACTGTCTCTAATATTTGTGTTGCGGAAGAATTGATGTTGGAATATCATAAATGTTCATACTTAAAATACGAAACTAACTAATATTAAATTCTCCAGATTTTCCTGTTTTGACATTTATACTAGTGCAAATCCTTAATACGTAAAAAAAAAAACCTTACAGCCAAATCAAACATTTGTTGGCAAATTTTATGAGGGGAACAGAAATTAAAAACTAATCAAAAAAGTTGAAGAACAAAATATTGGTGGTCAGAATTGGGTATTAATTTTTTGTGGAGATTTGGTGTGGAATTATGCTCAACTTTGACGGTGAAAAGTGAGTTCGGTCTTTTTTTGTAAAAAAAATTTGTATGGTTTTTAGTGACAATATCATATTAACAGCCCGGTTTGTGCACGACCTCCATTTATTTCAATTGTTTTTTTACGTTGACGGTTTTGGACTTTGGTGCATCATAGAAAAGGTCGCTGATATCCATCGGCTCATCAGTGCTCTCATCCTCCCTCAACCTTCCATTTTTCCAACTCCTAATTCATGTCTTCTTCTCCATAACCGGTTGAAAGGGGATCCAAATCATCAAATAATCCCATTTCTTCTAAGAAAGCAACATAAAAGAATTGGAATATATTGCTTTGGATTTGATCTCAGATTCTCTGTAATCAAGCAATCAAGGTTTGTAAATGATGAGAAGGGAACACATTAAATTTGATATCACCGGAGAACTCTTACGTGCATATAGAAGACATATGTTCATTTTGGATTCAAATTTACTTTAACTTTTAAATTGTACTTATATAGGGTTTAGTATATTAGCTGCTCTATTTTTTTTATAAAATTATTTTTTTTAAAGAAAAAAAAGATTTTTTAATCTACAAATAAAATAAAATAATTAAGTCAGAATTCTCTTACAGAGTATTTGAGAAATTCTAATGCGATTAATCGAGTGTGGAACATCCGAAAAATTTCTTTTCATGTTCCATCTAAAATTTGTTTTTGAAAAAAAAAAAAATAACTGGCTTGCACGAATATCACACAAACAAACAAAAACCTAAAAAAGAAAGGACATTGCACGGGGTTGATATTTCTTGCCTAACAAACTACTTCTAGTGTGTAATTGTTTTCTCAATCCAAAAGAGTTCCCTTCCATCTCACCATTTAGTAGCCTAAAATTCTTTCACTTGTCTTTTTTTGTTTTGTTTTTCTTTTCTTTTTTTTTTGGTTCATCTAATTTTTAGAGGTTCCACATTAATGTTTTATCTTGGAATTTATCCCTACTGACAAATGTCAGCCAGCAATTAAGGTGTACTATTTGTAGGGCCAATCTTAGTTGGTCAACTGGAAGGTCGCATGTAGTGGTGAATGGAGTCTGGGAAGAAGTTAAAATCTTTTTTTAAAATTTTTTTTAAGAATTTAAAATCTTTTCGTGTTTGATGAATCATGAACATAACGTCTCTTTCATGCAGCGACACAGAAATACTTTGAATCCACAAATTTTGGCAAAAAAACATATACTCTCTCCGGTACTTAATCAAAGGCAATTTGATTTTGTCCAACATTTTATCTATTATATATTTTTAATACATAATATTAAAAATATTCCCTAATAATTAAAATAATACAGCGAATGTGAAAATTTATTTTTAAAATTTTTTTTCTAAGTAAAAATACATAATCAGTAAAACATGAAAAAAACCAAAATATCTTATATTAAGGATCGGAAGGAGTATAAAACTCAAGATAGTGTTCCACACACAATTAGGAGTTTGTGTAACATTCTGGTAATAGAAATATTGAGGACTGATTGAAAGAGTATTATGTCAGAGGTATAAGTCCCTTTCATAAGGGATTATGTATTTTTCATATTACATTTATATTGTACAAAAGATAAGTGAAAAGGATTACAAGTAGACCTAATCAAATCCCTATGATTACGGAAAGATTATTTCTAAATACAACAAATTCTATCATCTCCTGCAGTCGAAGGTGGATGAGTAATTAAACTGAGACTGGATCAAAATTTTACAAACTTGTTGTTAGATAAAGATTTAGTAAGAATTTAAGCACGTTGTGCATCTTTGGGAATATGTTTAATAGACAGAGTACCAGCAACATCTTTATCTCGAACAAAATGCAGATCTAGCTCGATTCGCTTTGTACGAGCATGATGAACAGGGTTAGCAGCAAGGTATGTAGCAGAGATGTTGTCACAAAAAGTAAAAGAACGCTGCGGGAGAAAGACACCAAGATTCGAAAGAAGATATTCCCATCAAAGAGTATCAGCTAAAGCAGAGGCAACAACACGGTATTCGAATTCAGCAGAGGAACGAGAAACTATATTTTGCTTCTTCGAAGACCAAGAGACCAAAGAATCACCAAAAAACACACAGAAGCCAGTGGTTGAGCGACGGGTTAAATGACAGCCCACCCAATCCGTATCAGAGTAGATGACAATGCGAGGAAGACCACAACTTTTTAAATGAAGACCATAATTGATGGTGCCTTTAACATATCTCAAAATGCGTTTAACAGCCTGATAGTATTGCTCCTGAAGACTATGCATATGTTGGCTGACCAAATTAATAGCATACTGAATGTCCGAGCGAGTAAAAGTAAGATACTGGAGAGCCCCAACTATGCTACGATAAAGAAAGGGACTGTGAAACGGCATGGATCAAATGAAAATTGAAAACCAGGCACCAAAGGAGTAGCCATAGGTATGCAATCCGTGAGATTAGTGCGAGCAAGTAGTTCTGTAGCATATTTCTTTTGATGCAGAAACCACCCATCAGGAAACGTTTCAATGGAAACACCGAGAAAATAATTAATAGGACCAAGATCTGTCATAGCAAAGGCAGTCATCATAGAAGCAATTAGTGTAGAAATCAACGTAGCACTGAAAGCAGTTAACAGGATGTCATCAACATACAAAAGTAAGATAGGCATATGACAACCTGAGCGACACACAAACATCGAGGAGTCCGCTTGACTGTGTTTAAAACCACGAACAAGTAAAAAAGAAGAAAACCGATGAAACCACGCACGAGGAATTAGCTTTAAGCCGTAAAGAGCTTTATTCAACAAACAGACATAGTTAGGATGGTCTGGGTAAATAAAACCAGTAGACTGTTTCATATAGACAGCCTCATTTAATGTACCATGCAAGAAGGCATTTTTGACATCCAACTGGTGAACAGGCCACTTGCAGGAAGCTGCATGACTAAGAACTATCCGAATAGTAACTAGTTTGACAACAGGGCTAAAGATTTGATGATAATCAAGACCAAATTGCTGATTATAACCCTAAGCCACTAGCCACGCCTTGCAGCAATAAAGAGAGCCATCAGACTTCAACTTAACTCGGAAAATCTATTTAGAGCCAATGACATTGGCATGAGCTGGAGGAGGGACTAGATTCCAAGGATGGTTATGGACAGCACCCGTTAAGAAAGTGGGCAACGCCTTGGCGGAGATCTCCCGGGGAGGGTCCTGCAAGTCCATGGCAGCGGTGTAATCGGCCAAGAAGCTGACTGGACAGGTATCTCCTCCGTACTTCGAGATATCCGTGGGGAGCTTCAAGTTAGCCGGCCGCGGGCAACATCGGATGTGTTCGGCAAAAAGGCTTCCAAACGTTTCTCTACCATTGAGTATGGCCTCGAGCCGGGGATCCGACACACCCTCGCGGTCCATTCTCGATTCAGGTCTAGTGGGGGTAGGGTCGCGCTCTTGGGACCGATGTCGATCCCGAAGAATTCTTCTTTCCCCTATGAATATGAGACTGTCGTCCGGGCCCTCGCCTTTGCCTCCGTAGTACATGTCTTCGAATTTTCTGAACTGCTCCTCGAACCCTGAGAATCTCCCAGCAAAGAATCTCCAAAAGCGGTCATCATGCGGTCCCCATTCGGGAGAACGGGATGGGTAAGGACGCTTGGAGGTTTCTCTGCTCCTCCTTGCCTCTTTGCTGGTCCGGTGGGACCGACTCCTACGACGCTCGGCTGATCCATGGTCTCTACCGCCCCTGTGATCGTCAGACCTCCGGGAGCGACCCTGGCGGTCGTTGGTACGGTCGTTGGTACGGGAGGCTTCTTCGGCGTCCTTTTTGTCCCCGCGTTCATCCCGGGACCGGGTGGATACGCGGGAACTTCCTCCTACAACTTTCGATCTCAATCCAGGCCTGCGACTTGTCCCTTCATCGGGTCTTGTCCGGGTGGAGACCATTGCTCGTAGCACAACTGGATTCGCCCTCGGTCAACCGGGAAAGAGAGGACCTTTCCCACAGACGGCGCCACTTGTCGAGGGTAAATCCCAGAAACGGAGCCAACGGTCCAACCTAGACAGGGACCTGCAAAAAGGAGGTTAGCACTTCGAAGGTCAAGTCAGTCCTAGAGAGAAGTAATTTATTATCACGCTTAGAGAGAAAGTGGGAGTGTGAAAAATTGAAATCGCAATAAATGAAACAAGGAGTATTTATAGGTCCCCAATGGGACAATACATGTGGACCCTTTTGTCGAGAGGGGTAAAAGTGTAAATAGATATGTGTTAATTCTTTTTGGACTGATTGGGCCCAAAAAAATTAAATAAATAGACGAGTTGGGTCTGTAAGATGAGCCCAAGTTGGTGGGCCGATTGGGCCGGTCCGGGAAGGTCAGATATGACCACCAACACATATCATCATCATCAGCCTTTACTATCACAGTAGTATTATCCAAAACAACATAATCACCATCCAATTCATCACTATTCTGATAGTCCGAGAAATTACCTTCCCCTTGGTTCTCGGCCACTTCCTCTGCCTCCACTGTCGATGCGTTGATTTCCTCCTCCTCTTCACGGTCAGATTCTTGGTACCCTGTGACTGACATGTTAACTCGTTCCACCTCGGGTTCGTCGGCCTCCCAAACATTTAACACCACTGTCGGCCAAATGAAGTTGCCAAATCGAAGCTCCAGTTGTTCCGCGAGCTTCTCCCATGTAGACAATAGTGAAACAAGGTGCAATCCGTAGAAGAATTGCAGAGGCTCTCCGGATAAGTAAAAAGAAGTGGTAAACAACTTCATTTCCGGTGGTATGGAGTTATAATAGAAGAACAACTCCATTATATCTAATCCAATCGCTGACGTTTTCGCCGGAGAAGTAGAAAACTCCGTTTGGCGAAGGCTCTGGAAGGTTGAACTTCGCCGGATTAATTGGAAGGATTTCGGAGGTTGGGAGCGATAAAATGGCTATAATCCGAGAAGTCTCAGGAACGACGAGTTCCATCGATTAGGCGATAAAATGAAGAAATTGAACAGAAGAAAATGTGGTGCGATTGGAGAAGGCGGAGAACACGCACAGATTTCAGAAAGAGGTGGAGAAGAACCAGAATTCCGAGGGTTCGAAGGCAGAACGAGGAAGAAGAGAAATTGAACCCGAAATGGTGAAAATGATATAGAGTCGGCCAAGAATCGGCCGGCTCTGATACCAATGTCACGACCCGGGGGCCTGGAGTTGGCCGGAAAACAGGAAAAGGAAGAAATTCAGACGGAGGTGAGGGTTCCGGCGAAGGAAACGATGAAGAAGAAGAGAAAGTAGGATGTTTCAATCAGATACAATATTTTCGGTAATTTTACTTACAGCCCCCTAACAAACTATTTATAGTCATCTACTTTCTGAAATCACACTTCAGTCCCTATAATATCTAAATCCTATGATTTAATCCCAAAGGCATGACATGATTCTTCAAATGAACCAAAGACTTTTGAGATGGGCTCCTCAACGAACAAAACAAATCAGCCCAAACAAAAGAGTAATATAGGCAAAAGAAGGAATGATGTCAGGGAAGTTCAAGTATATATAAGCGCAAGAAAGTCTCATCCACAATACTTGGGCCTCCATGTGCGAAGACCAATCGGATTGAACTTGCAACAATAAAGGGAAAGTCTTCAACATCTTCTCCAGTTCATGTCCTAATTGAAACACATGTAGAAACAGAACTAAAAACGAGCAAACAATGCCTCTCCCTGTGAGTATTTCTCAACCTATTCTAAATACTCAAAATCACACCGTAGTGCATATTCCTCATCCAATCACAGGGCTAATCCACTGGATGTCTAAGGCGCACAACTCTCCCTCTGGCCGAAAACCAAAGGACGGAACTAATACTTTAAACATCAAGTCTAAATTCAAAGTTCAGGGCGGTAAATGAAAAAATAAAGAGACTTTGATGGCGGTTCTAGAAGATCTCGAAGAGTTTGAGGACCACCAAGAAGAGGAAGAGCACCCTATGAAGATTGATCATAAGCGTAGCTCTGACCTAGAGGAAGAAGAGAAGCCTCCTGACGCCTCCTGGTGAATGGAGACAACCATACTATTTGGAATCTTAGTTGAATAAGGGACAAGAAAAGCAATATCAGACAACCTCCTGCCATTGTTTTTGTTGAATACAGCCGATCTCACCACTACATGGTATGCTTGGGGTAACAGCCCAAAAGTCCACACCAGGTTGGATACTTAAGAAAGAAGATAATGTAAGAAAATGTGGGCCTTTGATGTAAAAGGAATTTTAGCTATTATGCTAGGTTAATTCTCAATGATGTAACTTAGGCAGTTTTTGCTAAATAAATTCTTTTACCCATACTTTTTTTGAAAGTCAATGATGAAACAAACCCAGCTGTGAATCCCTCTCCTTCCCCTCCTCCAACGTCGGCGGCACTGATTATACGCCGGTGAAGAATTCACATTCGGCCATCAAAATTCCTATCCACTCCACTCTCTTTCTATTTTCCCAGTACCTAATGCTAATTAGTTCATCAAATTTCATCTTCTTCTTTCCTTCCCTCAATGTAAAAATAATTTTTCGGGCTCTCGTTTCAGTTCCCGTCTTCAATTTCAGCCGGTTGTTGCTTCATTGATCCGTGAACACCTTTGATCCCGAGCTCTAGGCTGCCACCTTCGATTCTTTGAAGTTCACTTTAATTATTTTTTTCTTAGTTCATGTGACATTTTGTTTTTCTTTTTTCTGTCGGCATGACAGGATTAACGTTCATAAAAGAAAATATGTTATCTTGAAGAAGAGAACATTATGCATATGCCTATCGGTTTTGAAATTGTATTTTCCTTCACTAATTGAGATGGCTAGAAAAATGAACATTGATGTCCCTTCTGATGCTCCCATCATTCCAGAGATTCACAACCAAGGAAATCTAAAGCAAAAATGGTAAATTTGATATTACTAGCAAGACTTGGATTTTTCTCCAATTCTTTCCCTTTTTTATATATCTCTTTCAAAAAGAAAAAAAAAATAGCAACAGGGTCCCAAATAAACTGTTTGATTAATTGAAACGATAGGATCCCAATGGTGATATTGCACTAATTGCCAACCACATTGCTTCATAGCTTAGAAGGCATGACATGCAGGACTTGATTGTCAAAGACTAATCTCATTCAAGTTTAAAGATGGTTCGTTTTTGTTTTCTCCATCCTCCACTGCATATGATTTTATGCAGGCTAAAGACACCGATTACTTCAAACATTTAACTAATATCAGCAACAAGTTCAAGGGTGGAGGTAATCTAAAACTTGATATAATCAAGCTAATTGGAAATTTTAGAAACACTTGGGAAATTCCCTTCCAGAATTGTAGTAACAAACTGATGAAAATGGTGTTTAAGGAACATTTGTTTAGTGAAATCAACCATATTGATTTAAAATGTTGGAGCTAAAATGATGACAATGGTGTTTATCATGGAAAAAAATTATAAAACTATATAAAAAAAGAGGAAAATAAATGATTTAGGGTGTTTTTTTTATTAATCTTTTTTTTTGTGAACATAAATAATTTAATTTAAAATAATGAAAAAAATAGGACAGTGAATATACTAAACCTTATGCAAAATACAATTTTATTCTTATGTGAAATTTGTTTCCTTATTTAATCTAGCGAACGACGGATTCTAACATTAGTCTTGCCCTTGCTTTTCTTCTTGCGATTATGGTGCAGTAGAGTAGAAACTTCATTGTAGACAGCCTCCCGTTCCATATCAAATTCTTCATATTCCGAAAAAATTGGAGGCTTGATTTCATTCACCTTCGAAATTCATGAGATCAATTGAGAAATCTGTATTAAAAGACTCAGTATTTTTCCCAACATCTGTATCTTTGACAACTATTGTTGTTGTAATTTCTCCATGGCTGGAGCTGGGATAGGAAGCAAAACTTCTAGAAGACATATTTGTGATTGAGGGAATTAAATGATTCTTTGGCGTCAGGATTTAATTTTTCAATTGTGTTGTTGACAGAATTATTTTTGAAGATGCATCTTCAGAATATGAGAGCAAAGATTGCAGGATTGCAGGAGCATTGATTGCGGGATCACTTGCTGCGGGATTGCTTTGAGATCTTTCCACAGATTGCGAGTCGTTTAAAATTTGAAAGTCCGGATTGGATTGGCTTGGGGGGCATTGATTTTGCATCTTGAATAGCCGTAGGAAGTACGGGATTCGGTTGTGGTTTTGAAGGAAGCTGTGATTAGAGGGATTTCCTGTTCTCTGGTGGTCACCGGAGGCCCCCTCCGCCGTTCCTCCATTGTAGATTGATGATCCGGTTCCTCTGATGAAGAATCTCCATCTATCACTGGTGATTTAAGGTGGCCATTGTCATTCTGAATTTTTTGAGGAAAAACAGCGATTGATGGAGATGATTGATCGGAATGATTCTCTCCACCATTCATTGGAAGATTCACTTCTAAGCTATGCGATTCTTTAACAGCAGTTACTCGCTGATAAAGCATCAGTGGCGACGCTTGGGGTGGATTATCCAAAGTTTGAGCCTCCATTGTTTTTTCCACCGTTGGCAGCTCCAAGGTCGGCGATATTGCTAGAATTTCAGATGATTGCATTTCTGATTTGGGTTGTTTTGATTGTTGTTTTGTGGGATGATGCGAGTTGAGCTTTGGTAGTCTTGTTGCGATTATGTTGTGTCGAAAGGAGTTGAGATTGTGCCCAATTTTTTTGCAGCCAACACAATATTGGGCATATTCTCATAAAGAATGAATTGAAAGTAAGATTTTCCTTCAACCCCTAGTCTGTTCCGTACGTGATTATCCTTGAGGAGATCTATTTCTACACAAACACGTGGCACCGAGGGTCACAACATATATATACATAAAAAGAAAAAATTAAGTACATAAAAATAAATTATGTAAATATATAATTATATATATATAGAGAGAGATCCCATTGAGATCCCATTAATTGTATTTAGATGAGATCCCAACGGGTTTTGGGTATCCCAAATCTAAAACCCTTACAGTCCCACCCAAAAATAAAGTTTATTGGGATAGGCTAACCACATATCTAATAACTATCCGCCCAAAAACATTCTCGCCCAATACCACCCTTCCCAAACAATTGCCACCTATAAGCCCAAGGAACACACAGTTTCTATTACATTGTAATTTTAGTCCATATCACATTAATTAACGTCAAAAGTGACATGAGCATCTACGTATTTCAATTTGTCGAGTCGGAACCCTGCAATAACTACTCCAAAGGAACTTAAGATTAAGGGATTCTATGATCTGAATTACTTTCATTTCTTCCTCTTCAAAGTACATCCTGACAAAGAGAATCCCTTTAAACTTGCAGTGAGGTGCTAGACTTCGGGAAACCCCAAAATGGAAACAATCAATGAATTTCACTATCTTCAGCTGGACTTGTTCATGAGTACATACTTGCTCAAGTAACCCAGTACAAATATCACTGAATTGCAGATACAACTCACCCAATGAAGAAATAATAATTCCATCAGCATTTGGAAACAAAAGCTTCAATCCTGCCAAACAAGCTTCTGCAAAGAATGTACAGACTAAAGAGTTAATAGATCTGAGCAATAAATAATTCCATGATTGACCATTTGCTTGTAAACTCTAAGTATTTGAAAATGCATCACAAGTACTTGGGGGAGCAGCTCTTGAATCTAAATGTAAAGTGGAAGGTGATTCCAAGTAGAGACATCAACATTGCAAATGATTGGATCCGAAATCATCCTAATCCGATTACTAGGGATTCCGGCAATCCACTTCAATCTTCGTGTTAAAGATTTTATCCGTCCTAATGGC